TCATTGTGTTATTTTGTATATTCATTTTGCATTAGAAATCATTGGACTTATTATCTTCCAAATTAAACTTGCGTTAATCTTAATTTCCTGCTCTTCATCTGTTCTTTCTCACGACATCCGGACTGGGGGAGGTTGAGGCCGCAAGAATATCAGTGATAGCATTATTTCACCTCAACAGTCTGCATACAGAAAGGAGGTGGATTGGCTGGTACACTGGTGCTGTCAAAACCACCTGGAACTTAACCCACTCAAGACTGTGGAGATGATGGTGGACTTTCGAAGAACATCACTCCCTCACACACCCCACACACCCCCTTCACCATGTATCTATGAACATAAACAATATTCTAAACAATATTCTAAAGTTATGCTGAGGTAAGGGCGGGAACAGATCACTAGACTCTCCAAATTCTGGCCTTTGCGGTTTTAGTGGCCATCAAAAGACCCGGCCTATGTAGACCAGTCCTTTGAAGGATGCAGCTCCTCTTCCTGGGCTGAGCTAGAAATCTTTAGTGTGATTTAAAGGTACACAGAAATTCATAATGGCATCTGTGTACAGTTCAGTCTATGTTCCATCCATGTTTTCAAATCCATGGCTCAGTCATAGACCCGACATAAGTGGTGGACGCCCATTTTGACCATTTAAAGTCTACATAATTGGTTGGGTCGTCCAGATAAAATTAAAGATGTCCTAAATAATGAATAAATCAGGTAATCTGCAGAATACATTAAAGTCCAATCTGTGTGTTAGTTTGCAGGTGATATTTAGTCATTTATATTAATGCTAATTGTTCTGACAGGTGGTCTCTGATCTCATCCTGCTGGCAAATGTTTTCTCTTTCTATATAGGAGGAAAACTTCCTCTTCACAGCTTTGACATTACATTGACCCAGGTTATCTGACAGCTGACTGTTAAGGACTGTCCACAATATCAGTATGTTTGCAAACACACACTTTCAAAGTTTATTCAAAATAAGAAAACAGCATGCTGGTTCAAGAAACCAGTCTGAGATGATTCATGCTTTATGACATGGCGTGTTATCCTGCTGGAAGAAACCATCAGCAGATGGGTACACTGTGGTCGTAAAGGGATTGACATGGTCAGCAACAATACTCAGGTAGGCTGTGGCGTTGACACGTTGCCCTGAGGTGCTTGTAATATTTAGTTGGAAATAGTTCTATCCAGGTCTGCACGGTGGCGTAGTTGGTAGCACTGTTGCCTTGCAGCAAGAAGGCAACAGTGCTGGGTTCGATTCCCGGCCGGGGGTCTTTCTGCATGGAGTTTGCATGTTCTCCCTGTGCATGCGTGGGTTCTCACCGGGTACTCCGGCTTCCTCCCACAGTCCAAAGACATGCCTGTTAGGTTAATNCAGTTGGTAGCACTGTTGCCTTGCAGCAAGAAGGTCCTGGGTTCGATTCCCAGCCTGGGGTCTTTCTGCATGGAGTTTGCATGTTCTCCCCGTGCATGCGTGGGTTCTCATCAGGTACTCCAGCTTCCTCCCACAGTCCAAAGACATGCCTGTTAGGTTAATTGGTCTCTCTAAATTGCCCTTAGGTGTATGAATGAGTGTGTGTGCTTGGTTGTTTGTGTGTTGCCCTGCAATGGACTGGCGACCTGTCCAGGGTGTAACCCACCTTCCGCCCATAGACTGCTGGAGATAGGCACCAGCTCCCACTATGACTGACTGACTGACTGACGTATAATAAATTGCATGTAAGTGTTGTATTTTGTTCATAGCTTTTCTTCTTTCATACCACAAAGTGTTTCAGTGAATCAGTGTTGGGCATGTGGCCAAGGCCACATTAAGAGGTGGTCTTGGTTGCATGTATTTAGCTTGAACAGAAAACTGTTTTAGGTCACTTTAAAAGACACCCCACCCACTAAGATTACCTCCAAACATCCAGCAGAGATTTTTCTATAGCTTCTTTCACAAAACTATTGTCTCTGTGTTTTCTAAAAGAACGGGGGGTTAAAGTCAGCCCTCTGGTATAACACGTCAAGCCGCCAAGAGAGTTGGTCACAGCCTTGGAAAGACCAACTTGTGTAAGGATCAGCAGGCTGTACACCATAAAGGTGTGATGTAGCAATGACAGTGACCCTTTAGAGCGAGAGATGTTCCAACACATACTTTTTGCTGAGTTCCCTTCCACACCTCTTTAGCATTGTTTGGTAAAGCTCTTTTGTGCCTGGGAGCCCCTCCCTGGTAGTTCAGATAGGGGCTCAACTTTGCAGCTGTATGACCAGGCTGTTGGTTTCAGAACAAAGACATTGTGAAGGCTTGTGCCTTGGCTGCCTGCATGCACAGCTCTTACATGCACCCAGCAGGTGAGAGATGATGAGAGAGTAACTTTGACCCATTCTGTCACTTCTAACCTTTTCACCGACTGATCATAGTGCCTGTAAATGTCCCCACAATCAGAGCTCCAGTTTAGTGCTTAACTTGCTTACGTAGAGGTTTTATTAAATGAAACTAAGGTTAAAACAATCTCCATGTTATCAGAGCGAGATTTTAACTCACTTTGTTTTGCAAATCACATATGAACCACATATTAAATCACTTATTAAAGCATCAATCTCTATGGGGGTTCAGGTGTAATGGTGAATAAATACAGTTTTATTGGCTGTGACATGAACTTGGAGCTAGTTTATTTGAAGCCAGAACTAGACCAACAATAGCTGTCCATATATTGTGGAAATGAAGAAGCAGCACATCAGGAACAAGCCTGAACAGTTTTACTCTGCTGAAGTCTCAGTGTTGTTCTCTACCCAGATGAGAAGCTACTGAGTTACTGTGCATTGACTGGTTCCCCATAGGACTAAGCTCCTTCATTTTCCTCTGCTGCTCTCCTCAGATGGTCAGGTGACGCCTCTGGTTGAATTATCAGCCAAACAGGTAGCTTTTCATATCCCATTTGAGGTAGTGGAGAAGGTCTATCCCCCAGTGCCAGAACAGCTCCAGCTCCGCATCGCCTTTTGGAGCTTCCCAGAGAACGAGGAGGACATCAGGTGAGAACATACAGGTCTCCATGTGCAGATAATAAATCCAGTTTGTTAATGTCCAGATTTACCTTTAAGGTAACAACCAGTAGGGATTACAGGAAAATAATTGGACTAATGATCTTGTTTGACTACTGTGATGAAGTGAAAGAAATTTTCTGTTAGTAATTAGTTTGTACTTATTTTAGTTTTAGTATTTAGGGTTGTAGTTAGCACTGGCATATGACTGGATGTTACTCTGAGGCATTACAATATACACTCACTGGCCACTTTATTAGGTACACCTTGCTAGTACCGGGTTGGACCCCCTTTTGCCTTCAGAACTGCCTTATTCCGTCGTGGGATAATTTCAACAAGGTACTGGAAACATTCCTCAGAGAGTTTGGTCCATATTGACATGATAGCATCACACATATGTTGCAGATTTGTCAGATAATCATCCATGATGTGAATCTCCCGTTCCACCACATCCCAAAGGTGCTCTATTGGATTGAGATCTGGTGACTGTGGAGGCCATTTGAGTACAGTGAACTCATTGTCATGTTCAAGAAACCAGTCTGAGAT